TGTCGATAGCCCGACACGTGTTCCGCAGCCATCTTGTATTTTCTCGCGCGCGTGGGATTGTGGGATCTCTCTTATGACTGGATCTATAGTTTCGAGCACTCTCTCGAGTCGATCGCGATTGAACCTCGTTTCAGTCGAGATTGAGACAATCGATGGAGGTTGCACCAGGCGAACAGGGAATAAGGCTCTAGTTTAGTAGTGTTACAGAGTATAATACATATATTTTAATATATTTTTTAAAAGAAACAAAACCACTGAGAAATGTTACGTGTGTTTAACAACGGGTTCGGAAAACTTTGAAAATGTTAACAACGGGTTCGGCCGAACCTGTGCGAACCCGCTGAATATCACCACTGTATATATACATATTTACCATGTTACTTGAAATTACATTTTTTCAAACACATCATTTTTTGTAAAATGCTAATAAAAATATTCTTACCAATTACTGGCAGATTATCATCATCCAAATATATTTTTACAACACCATCCTGAAATATTAATATAAATTAATATATGATTTAAAATACAGTGTAACCTGGTTAACTCAAATTGGTCAAAGGAAAAAAAATTTGGACTTAAAGTTAAAAAGTTTAGAATTATGGAGGTTTGGCTAAAAATCAAGATTTTGTGCATTGGTTTATTAGTGACCCATAATATTTCCATGGGTCTTGTTAGATAGAATCATTGTGTCAATGTAAGCCTCTTGGTGTTGTCCAGAAACTTGAGAACATTTAACCAAATGGTTAAATACATTACTGAGAAAAGCTTTGCTAAATAGTTGTTCCATTCACTCCTAAGTGTTTAATAAGGATTTTTTTAATTGTGATATTTTGTGCCTAGAATTAATCTGATTTATATTTTTTTATCACAAACATATCCCATGCATTATAGAAAATTTGTGATTAGTTTATTTGATGACTGTTATATGATGAATTGTAGATAAACATTAATTATCTATATATTAATTGAAAGAGGGTTTCAGCTTTTCTAACTTAGTTTGAGTAAATGGCCATGGCCAAATATACGGTTCAGATATAAAATTAAAGCTCTTACCATATAGATGATGCTGCTGAAGAGATATTTGAGAACAGTGTATTGTCATTTGCTTCCTTTGTTGCCAATAAGACCATAGCTTCAGAAGGCCATAGACTGTATAGTACATGCTTAATATCAATGGGCAGCATCATTACAAATCTTTACATCCTGACATACCTGACAAATGATAATATACTCAGCTTTACATTATAGACACTGCAGAAGCAACAGCCATCAGAATGTCTAGAGATGCAACTTGCAATCCTAATGATGATGCTGCATGACATGATTGCTGAGGTGAACCCCTTCATATGCTGTTACAGAATGATGGCAGAGGTTGATCAGCAAAAAAGAGCAAGCAATGATTGAAGGTTCAGTCATGTGTACACAAGAAATGCTGTGTCAAGATGATCTCTAAAAGAAATTTTTACCTCAGACAACAACTCACTAACACTTGATGAAATGTGGTAACAGCCATTTTGTGTCCAAAGAATTTGCACTGTACAGACACAAATGATAGAATTGTTGCTTCCCTGTTTGGAGAAGAGAAAATGTATTTGAGCTTATACTGTACAGCAAGTTTCAAATGACCAGAATAAGCACATGAGATACTTGATAGAATTTCTACACACAATTGAGATGAGTGGACTTCCACCACAAAAGTTAACATTAAAGATCAGAGCTGAAGTCATGCTCATCAGGAACCTTAACACTAAAAAAGAGTTGGTTAATAGAATGAGATTAGTTATATGTGGTGTGTTTAACAACATAATTAACATTAAATCCTCATGGGTGAACACTGTGGAATTATTTTCATATGCTTCCTCGGATACCATTAACTCAAAATGATGGCACTTTTCCTTTAACAATTAAACAACTTCAATTTCCCCATAATTCTGGAATTTGTCCTGACAATTCAAGGACAGACTCAATAAAGTTGGTATTTATTTACCAGAGACAGTTTTAGTCATGGTAAGCTTTATGTGGCCTTTTCTGATCCTGACCATAAACAACACAGCAGTAAAAATTTCACACCTGGACCTCAATGTTTGTTCACTTTGAAAGGATGACTCAAAATATTGTATTTCAAAAAGTACCAAAATAAATTTCAATTAAAATGGCAAACAGTATTTTTATAATTTAAAAAATAATAAGAAACAAGTCATCTCCAATTCCGTCATGTCCAATCACTAGGAACAAAACATTCTTCTTTTGCAAGACAACCTTTTATTAGAGGCTAAACCTCTGAAAATTATGTAAAACAGTTAAAATGTTCTTTGATAACATCATTGATTAACTGTTTTACATAATTTGTAGCGTGTATTCTCTAATAAAAGAGGTAATCTCTGCAAAGGAAGACTGTTTTGTTCCTGGTTACTGGACATGACAGAATTGAAGACAACTAGGTTTCTTCTATATTTTTTAAATTCTGAAATAAACTAGAATGTCTGATTGTTTTAGGTCTAAAAGTTTTATTTGTGAAGTGAATGGCATGGGGTGGGCCACCACTACCATCACCATTAATCCAAATCCCCATCAATTGAATTCAATTGGTCTGTCTTAAAAATGCTAAATTGCCACCCTGGGACCTGGATGCAAAGTTGAAAGAAGCCTCATGGCATCAGGAACAGGCAGATGGAATCACCTATAGATGGATTCAGAAAACATTTGCTATACTGATCATTTTTGTGTAGAATGACAACTTTTAAATGAGCTCATGATTGTATTATAATTGAATAAAACAGTCAATTTTGACAGATTCCTGCTAGTTTTATTTAAATTAAAATTAGAGAAATTTTATTAAAATGCTGTATCAAAACTCCATTCAAGTTACAGTTTGAGGAATTCAACTTAACATGTTTGATTTAACATGTGAATGCCTATGCATATGTTAAATGTGCATGGGGGAAGACAATGGGGAAAGAGAATGACTTCAAGTTATTTCTGTCCAAGTTAACCAGGTTCCACTATATACATAAAACACATTAACATACATACACATGTTTATATATATAAATTATTTGAAAGAATAAAATTTCATTACTATTATAAAACTTTTATGATATCCAATATAGAGCTTTAAAGATAAATCATAATCATAATCTCTGTATAAAATTTAATGAAGTATGTTATTTTCCTAAATTTTCATTTATGAACATGCTGGAGCATATGTGTAAATGAAGATATAGAAAAATAGCAACCATCCCACAGAAATGCATTAAAATTTGAAGACTTATATTCTAAAAATTAATATTATCATTAATCCAACAATCTTTTTTGGCTTATTTTATGCAAGTAAATTACAATTATGTTAAATATTATTAGTAAGATAAATTTAAATGAAACTTATAATGAAAATTTACATGTATTACATGGAAAAAAAATTACTTGCTTACAAATTCAATTGAATGTTATTTGTATATTATAAGAAAAAAGTACAGATAAGAGATAAAAAAACATATTATAATGTGTTGTTTTATAAAATTTATTTATTAACTAAAGGCATTTTTGATCTTGCACAAAATTGTACTTCTTACATTAATTTTAATTTTAAAAACATAGCAAAACAAACAAACAAATAAATTATAAGAAACAAAAATTAGCAAATATAAATTATATTACAGATCTGATTATATGAGTTTTGATAAATAGGTAATATGTTATTTAAAAAAGCCGGCAAAGGCTCTTGCTCAACTTTCCTAGCACTTGAACAAAAGGTTAAGGGGACCATTAGGAAGTTTGATAATTTTCAATTATACTAGGATATAAAATATAAGTAAAATCAAAAACTTAAAAAAGTAATTTTCTTGAATTATGATAAAAATCTTCATTCAAAAAATATTATAACACTAGCTCAAAAGTTAAAATTGTGTGGCACCTATCTGTTATGAGATGTTCCTAAAAAAATAACTTTTATATTTAATTATTATAAAAAGGCAAATAAAGAGTTAATTTTGAGAATAGAGACAACTTTTTAAAAATATTGTAAATGCCAATAATGAATACAATTTTCATTAAGTCTGATCAGACTCAAGATGTGACACATCTCTCTATCTCCCCATCCTTGAGTTCTGTACTCCAAAATTTAATAGCATCAATGCCCCTTATATACAAGTTACCATGCCAAATTTCATTTCTTAATTTTCACCCATTCCAGAGATATTAAATGCAATAGATATGAACAAACAAATAAACACTCATCAGAAATTTTTTTCTTTGTTTGATTCAGGGATCTCAAAACATTGAGATTTGAAAAAAAAAAACCCAGAGGGTCATTTTGACACAATTACAAATTTATACTTTCCAATGTTATAACAGCAATGAAAGTAAAATTATGTAAGATCACTTAAATTGCAATCATATTGTATTTGAACTCTTTTATGATTTCTATTTGTAGTTTATGAGCATCACTCTATTATAAGTTAAAAGTATTTTATTAGAGAGTGATGTAATTAAACTATTTGAATAAGTTTATAAATCAAAACATATAGGATATAACAAATAGTTTAACTTATTTATAAAACTAAATACAGTCAACTTGATTTAAAGTGAACACCATTAAAGCAAATTTTGCCATTGCCCTGTTCATTTTCACCTGCAAAATACCATTGTCACTATGTTAATTTTAATGCAATAACGCAAACAAAACTTTTATCAGAATTCATTAAATCAAACTGCAAATTACCCTCAGGAAATAATCCTACTTCAAGTTATGGTTACTTTTTGCACTTTTTGATGTGAACAATAAAAAATGAGTACTGTAATAAATGTTCTAACTTGAGTAGAATGCATTTTACCTCATAATAAACTAAGATAGTTTCAACCTCCAATTGTAGAGCAATTCAAACTTCTGGTTTTAGCAAACCATTTTACTGTACTCAGAAAATATGTTTAAACTTTAAGGACACCCACTCCTTTAAATGGAGGCAGTCCCATCATGCTATATGTAATATGCATATTACATATATGCTACATGCAATATGCAAACTAGCAAACACATGCTAGTTTGCATATTGGGATGATGCCAGTTTTGGGTTTTTTTTTACTCTTGGTACCAAAAATATTTTCTACTTTTTAAAATAATCTTCAACAGAAAAAAAATTATGAATTTCTTTTAACTTTGTTTTGTTTCACCATTTTACACTTAAATAGCAAATATTGTCCCCTTGTCATTTTGTTTGATTTGAAAAATCATTCAGAATTTTTTTTTGTTAATGAATTTAATTTTATTTAACTTTATTTAATAAATTAATTCAAAATACTATATTATATTTTAGAGATTTCAATCATCCATTAAACCTTAACTCCCTAAATTATACAACCTTGGCCTTGACTCTGAAACTCATTAATACAAACTTTCAATAAAGAAAACTAATTACAGTTCCCCTAGTAATTTATATTAACACAAGCTGAATGTAAAATTATTTAATTATCAAATTTATCAAGAGGTTTATATTTGTCATTAATAATATTACTAATAACAAATTATTTGGATTATTAATGATGATATTAACTTAATTCTCCAAAAATTCTTTAATGTAAATTAGAATTAAATGTAAATTGTAAATTAGATAATTTGTCATTTATTATACAGTAGAGCGTCATTTATCCGAATCAATTGGGGACTGGGGTTGTTCGGATAACTTATTTTTCGGATAACCAATTATGTACGAAAAAATATATTAATTTATCCCGTGTTGAAATTTTTCTCCGCTGCGTGTCGCTTCACGTTGAATTTTCCTCGATGTTAAGCCTAACGAAGACTATTGTATTGTTAAAAATTATTTTTTTATTTTGTACAAACAAAATAAATATATTGAAAAATATAAAAACAATAAAAAATTATACTTCAGAAGTTAATTTAGTATCAAAAACGTAAAATATTTGAGTAGCCCAAGACATAGCCAAAGATTGCAGTGCCACAGCACTGGCGAAAATTTAAATTTGTCGACTGGAATTCCTTCGGATAACCGACCTTCGGATAAACGACGCTCTACTGTACTTAAAAAATGCCAAATCAGATGTTGATTAATTGAAAAAATGAAAAATTGGATAGCTTACTTTCACAAGAAAGGAAACATGAAACATATTTTCCACTGTATGAGAAAATGATTCGGGATCAGTCACAAATTCAAAATAACAAATTGGTTCATCTGAAATATTTAATTTTAATAAAATGTATATTAAATGTAAACATACATATTAATGTTAATTTTAAATATTGTTACATTGTTATTCACCACTACTTGTAAATAAGATGCTATATCTAATGCTAGATTCACATTGGCATATGAACTACTACAAAGTGAATACAAATAGCCAGTTCATCACCTTCCGGTGAGCATTCAACCAATTCATTAAAAGTTGTGACTATCTTAACTTTTGCCAGACTTCAAATTGTTCAACCAATAAACTTTTCACAATTAGTATTCAAAACCTTTCTAGTCAACACATCCTAACTTTGCATCATGTAAACAATGCTCATAACTGTTCATTTCATTCATTCTTAGCGGTTCATACGACAGTGTAAACTGAGCTAAAGATAGATGACTTACGTTTATTTTTAACATAGATTTTTTGCAAAAGTTTTAAAATTTCTTCCACCTCTTCAGTTGTAGTCTCATTATTGCTACCCAAGGAATTTACCTATTGAACAATTCAATATATCAATTTTTAAAATTACATATTTACTGCTGTGAATAATTCATTTATAAAATTTAATATGATCATAAAAACTGTATCTATTTAAAATTATATTTAATGCATTTGAAATTAATTAAATGTATTTGAAATTGATAATTTTATATTTTTAACAAAAAATTCATCTAGTTAGCTAGGTCTGCCTATCTAGCTGTACAGAATCTTTTAAAAAGAATGCTACCATTTTAAATTACTGTAATTATTAATTAATTTGCAATAAATAACTATGAGCATCATTGGCTTTTCCATTATAATTACAGATTTAACACACATCTTTTCAATTTTTTATTCAATCAACACAAAATTTCCCAGAATGCATTTCAGCCTGTTCAAAAGCCCTCTTCAGCCAGGTAATATATATACATTCAACTGGCTGAAGAGAGCTTTTGAACAGGCAGAAATGCATTCTGGGAAATTTTGTGTTGATTGAATAAAAAATTGAAAAGATGTGTATGATAAATCTGTAATTATAACGGAGAAGCCCAATGAGGTACACAGTTATTTACTGCAAATTAATTGATAATACAGATAAGATACTTATATTACTGTAATTATGTTAATTATTATCTGAGAAGTATGTGAATGTACAGTACACCAACCAATAGAATAACTGTCCAAGTTTCATCTCCCATCTGCATTCAAATGTGTTGTATATTACTAGCAGGAAGCACTGTAAATGAAAATCATGACTTCACAATAGAGGTGTTTTGTAAATTACACTTCACTCTGACACCGGGGATGAAATACTAAATACGGAACCTGTTACCGGTGTAATTACACCGGTAACAGGTTCCGTATTTAGAGGTGTTTTGTGTTCTGAAGTTTGCAAAGTTTGAATCACTCATCATTGTGCAACATGAGTAATTTGCAGAAGCTGTAGAATTGTAGCTACCATGGGAGGAGTGACAATGGATAAGCAATACTGAGTGTAGGAAGAATTTGAGTATGTTTTTCTCAGATAATAATTAACACAATTACAATAATTTAAACTTCGGTAACATTTTTTTTGGAAGACCTTGTGTTTATGAAATTTTAGGTTGCAACTGAAAACATTAGCTTCAAGAATTCTCTAATCTCTTGAAGTATTTTGTGACAGAATTTGCTTCTCAATTTATACAACTTCTTTTATTTCTTCAAATTTCCCTACCTCTATTTAGCCATAGATATTAAATATAATTTCTTCAGCTTAATTATTTAATGATCTTCCTTGTTTAAACAAAGAATTAATAAGCATCATTCAGCCTTTAGAATATTTTATAGTCAACAACTATAGAATGATAGAAAATACTCAAGAGATTTTAATAAAACAAACATTATACTGTCAATTTTCTTCATCTTTCACAATGAAACTGTTAAATACTTTTAAATTTATTTTATTATTATTAAGAAAGCTATTTGTCTACAATTCACAATATGCCAAGTAGGAAAAAAAGTATTTTAATTTTTCAACCAATTTTCTAAAATTGAAATATATTTAAATAAACACAAAACATGAATCCCATAATAAGAAACACTTTTGATATTCAAAGGTCTTCATCAGGCTATATCACATCAAAAGCATTCATTACTGAACAATTTATGCTGATATTTATGATTGTTTATATATTTTTTTCTCCTTATTTTTATCCAGCTTCTGCATTTAATTTTTGATATTTAAATAATTTTCTTAAATATTTCATATCAGATTATATAAATATTGAATAAATAATGTTTTTTATAATTATATATGATATTATCTTAAGATGAAAAGCAGACAACTACTTAACATTGGATTTGAACTGCTAATTAGAATAACATTCTGCTAATTAAATCTAACCTGATCTAATCAATAGCTTTAATGTTAATTTATTGAAATAGCATCAATACTAAAATATGTGTTTTTCATGCCATAATCTGGCCAATTTCAGAATGCAAGAATTATATGAAATAAATATCTAATACATTTTGAATACAGAAATAGAATACAGAAAACCAAAAATATAAAATATTTCTGTATTAATATAATTATATTAAGATTTCTATACCATAATATATAATTAAGCCTCTTTAATCTAGTGTGAAATATTCTGGATTATGTATTTTTCTGAATCATAAATTTTATATGGTAACTATATTAATATATCCTATTATTTTATGAGTGTAAGAATAATGCTAAAATTGTATTAAAAATTTGCATTGTCTTCATTGCAAACTCTATAGCTGAAGAGCAAATGACAAAAACAGAAAAAAATATATAAATTTAATGAATTCACTGACTTAAATCAAACCTCAAAAGATTTAAGATTTATAGATATGTACAACAGAGCTATCTGCACTCCCTCAATAGACACACAACACATCCACAATCACCCCAGTGACTTACTACAGCAACCTAAAAAACATCTATAAGAAACATTTCTAACATTGCAAGTTTCCAACAGTTATGTACAATGTTTTTAGATTTCTTAAAATTATAATTGGTATAGCTTATTAAAACAAATCAATTAATTATAAAACTCTGAATTCTTACTGTAGTAGGAGTAATAGCTTTGGTTGGAGCATCTTTGTCTTTTTTCTTCATTGGTTTTCGTTTTCCTTTGGCTTGTACATCACCAATTTCAAAGGATCCATATCTTGAAAATAAATATTAATACTCATAAATTTATTATTATGATGTTATTGGAACGTAAACTACTCAGTTTATGCTAATGCCTAGTGCTATGCTGGATCAAGGCATATCTACAGGAAAAATTATTTTGTTCACATGCTGTTTGTTTATGTATCTGTAATTAAGAATTTTCTTACTACTATATATGAAGTTTTGTTGATTTGAAGCACTAATGTTTTCAGATTTTTGTGTTGCATATGTGGTATATATCTGTACAAGAAAGAACTACAAGCACAATAAATATCTTATCTATTCTGCTTAGGCACTTATTTCACGAGCAAGTTTAGAGCATTTACTAATTTTTTCAGTGTATGCAATTTGTATGTTATGGGAATTTGGTACAGTTATGTCCATGATGTATGTGATTTTGTTGTTTGTCAATGAATGTGATATCAGATCTGTTATGATAGATTGTTTTGTCTTTTATTATGATTAGTCATAGTATATTCTGTATTTCATGTTTGATTGTCTTAACTGCGAATATTGACTTCTCTCTGAGTTTGTAATAGTTTATGTTTGTGTGCAAAGCTTACAATTCAATGAATAGCTTCATACATGACATTTCCTACAAGTGTCATTTGTAAGTGTTGTTTCTTCTAAAATGTTTTCCTGTAGTTTTTTTGTACTTATGACCTAGTATATCAAATCAATTGTATGACAATAATGAATCTTTCTGACTCAAAAACATTTGCAAGTCAGCCATCATTTGACACATTTGAGATTGTTACTGCTTATTGCAGAGCTCTTCTGATCCAGAACTGTGTTATGACATTGGTATGTATGGCACATATCTATCTGTATATGCCTCTTATATACCATGTTAGATCCAAGTCAGTATTATGTAAGTTTAATAGTATGCTGTTTTTGTCTGCAGAGTTACAACTTTGTGTTATTGTGATGCTTCTTGTTTCTGTAAAAAATCTCTCATAGTTTCTGTATTTGTTTGCAGCAAAGATTTACTATATCTGTAAAACCTCATTTACCCTCTTTACAAGGATAAGCCAGTCTTAGAGTATGATTATGCTTTTTAATGTTGTTTATGTTTTCCTTTGGAGTTGTTCTAGTTCTGTGTATGCCAATTATAGAACTCAAACTGAATATGAGAGTATTGAAATAACATATGCTTTGATTGCTTTAAATGAATGCATGTTTTGCATTCAACTGTGTTGTTAGTAATCGGTTTGATCTATTGTTGTATCTTTTGTTAGTCTTTATTTTATTTGTGAATGTTCTGTGAGTTTGGTGTGTTGGAATCTTAAATATTTGTAGACTTTACCCTCATCCACAGATTCAATGACATCTTCATTTCTCAGTGCAAAATTACCTTTCTTCAGGATTTTTTTTTCTATGTGAAGTGTTTTGAAGTATCTAGCCAAACTCCATCTAAATGTCAATGGAGTAGTGTGTGTAATTTCTAGTAGATGATTTAGCTGTTCTTGTGTGGATGTACAAAGTTTCAGGTCATCATGTATATAAAACAAGATAATATGTATTGTGTTGTTTTGTTATGTTATTATTACTAATAGTATTATCAGAAAACAAGATGTTAGTTTCTTAGATAATGTTAAAGAAACAAACTGTTATAAAAACATATTGAATAACTAGTATTTCTTCAAGCAAAAGGACAAAACTTTTCATCCTATTCTACAACAACTTATGTCTAAATTTCATATACAGATATCTCATTTAATACAGTAGTTAGATTCTGAAAAAGTACTGTGTTATGTAAATCCATGCTGTGTGAAAGAAAGAACTAGTACAAAACATAGGGTTAGGTTTCATAAGTTAGCAAGAGTATACTATTCTTTTTTGTAATTAAGAGAAATATGTTTATTAAAACAATCAATAATTAACAATTGCAATAAAAAATATTGCATATTAACATTAATTTTTTCTTCACTGCTAAATACCATTAAATGAAAACATTTTCTTTTTGGCAAAATATTGTCATCTAAACTTTTCTGTTGACCTTAATCTGAAGTATCAGCATCTTGCTTTTTCACTATTTTTTTCATAAAATGTGATATTTTCATTTGCTTGCATTTGCCTAAGAAATCTTTAAAAATTTAATCTTTTTATGAAGCAACTTTTAATTTAATTTGTAAAAAACAAAACACAGTGACAGTCTTTTGGGTTCATTTAGAGCCCTATCACCAACAACAGTAACACCTGATTTACAGGCAAGCTAGAAGAATAAGTAGCTAGGACAAGGAAGAATACAATTGTACAATCAGTTCTCATTAAAGAAAACTAGGTAAAAGGCATGAAACACCATCGAAAATTTCAATATTCTAAAATCCATGGGCAAATATGATACAACATGCATGCTTGCTTGAATAAAAAATATAAAATGACAGTGTTTTCATTTAAAAATTGTAATGTTTTGTATGGGGATGTCTCCAATTCTCAAACTATATTAGAGCAAAACCAAGTTGAATGAAGGATACCTGTACATCAATTAATTATTTACATGTGCAACATTTCTTTTTAATAATTTCAGTAGTAGTGACTGAAATGAGATGAACTGAAATGAATGACTTGGAATGTGTTGTTGGTAAATTTGTTTATACACTAAATTATTAATACCTTTTTAAGCATAGAAAGTTTTTCTTTAGTTATACTCCACAGATTTTTAATTTAAATTATTAAATCAATAAAAACAAAAGAACTATTAAATGAAATATTCAAATTGTCAATCTACATAAAATCATCCTGATACTGATCCTGATCAAACAATTTTCATCTACAGAGACAACCTTTTTATGGAGGCTATGCCTTTGCAATAATGAAATTTGAAATAAACTATTTGCTTTTTACCAATGGCAATGTCACCAAAAGAAGTTTTAACCAAATAGCATTATTGCAGAGACTACTATAAAAAGATTCTCTCTGTAGATGAAGATTGTTTGTTGTTGGTAATTGTAAAGGCAGATATCCAAAGACATTTTATATATTCTGTATTTTTGTATTTTATTAAAAATTTACATATTGTCAGTCAATTTGAAATTGAAATGAATATTTGTGGTTAATTAGGTCTTTTTTAACCAACTTACTTTTAATTATTTTAGTTTATATGATACAAAACTAGAATCAAAACAAATGTAAAATTTACAGAAAATATATTGTAACAAATAATGCTTTCTTTGAATAAATATAGATACAGCTACTGAATGTCTGAAAAGTTACTGTGCAGTCAGAAGTTTGTAATGACAGTAAAGTTATATGCACGGTATTGCACATAATACAGTAAAACCCTGCTTAACACTGATTCAATATAATGCGGTCTGCTCAAAGCCTAAAACAAGCTCAAAATTTACGCTGATTTAAATTATCGCAGCATTTCATTGATTCGTATATAATACAATTATTTGTGAACACAAACCAATCAGCAAAAGATGTCAAAAAGGTGTACTTTCTTTAAATCTATGTTTGTTTGGTGCAATTTTGGTAAAAGTATAACATCATGGATGCCATAGGAAATATCGACTTCACTTGGCAAGAATTAACTGATAAATGCATGAACAAAGTGTGGAAGAAGTTATGGCTGAAGGTATCCAAGCATTCTCAATGAGAAGAGCCTATCGCTGTATTGTTAGGTTAATCAAACTCAACCTAAATCAATATAGCAGGACTAGGAGATATAGACAAGAAGGCTATTGAGGAGTTACAGCAGGTTTCTGGTGAGAGCCTTACCAACGATGACCTTCAAGAACTGGCAGAACATGGAATTCATGTGAAACTGGAAAATAGAGATTCTGAAAATGAAGAACCCAAAAAATTTCTCTAAAGATTTCCTTACTAAAAGTTTGCTAAGATAACCAAAAGCGTTGATCAAATTGTAGCGAATGATCCAGTTTTTGAAAGGAGTGCAAAAGCAAAATGAGGCGTTTTGGATGCAATCTGCTACTGACATTTGCTTAAGGAAAGAAAAAAGCAATAAATGAAACTTCACAACTTTATTGCAAAAGAATAAGAATTTCAGAAAAGTCAGGACCTTCGTCACAAAAAATGAAGTTTATATTTCTGTGTGCATATGTTTATGTGTTATTTAACATATATTATTATACAAATTAATATAAAAATAACTTAAAATTAAAGTAAAATTTGTTTATTTTTGGTTGCATGTTCCCCTAGCCCTATTTACTCTATGTTAAAATGACCTCATTTAATGCTGTTTTCCTTAGTGCTTTGTTGTCTAGGAACACATCCCCCATGTTCAGTGGGGTCTTACAGGTACCTGTAAGACCCTGCTTAAGTTGTAAGTTGTCAATTTGATATCAGACTAGTTCACCACATGGTGTTACAAACAACTTATAGGTTTTGTATATAATACTGTACATATAGCATTAATGTAAAAATTTCTCACTGCACTGCAACTTTTTTGACACCCTCTATAAAATTTGTTAAGTGCTTTGAAGCTTACTGATCATCTTGAATCAAATTCAAGCAATAAGCTCAAAAACACTTATCAACCTATCTTTATATTTACTCCAAAAAACCATTATATGTTGCTTTATTCTAATTTAATTTGAAGATGGAATACAATATACATACATACATACATATAGATTTGAAAAAATTTAATTACATGTAATGAAAAGATGGTGATTTATTTATGAGTGGATGAAATTGTTTTCCAAATTCAATCCAATGTTCAGGTAATAAGGGACAAGGTTGTTCACTTCCTCCTCCTTCATCAGTATCTATTCTATTTGGCCTTAAATAAGATATCTGAAATGATGATAAACACTTTTGCAAAATGTTTTGATAAAGTTGTCTAATGATATTACTAAGCATACTATATTAGAATCTTACTAATTTTTCTGCAAATTCTAAAGGCTGGAATGTTAAAAAGTCTGTATGAAGGGCTTGAGCTTGTTGTTTTCCAGCAGCAGCACAAAGGTATATTAAACGTGAATCCATTGCTGCTTCTCTTGTCTTCTTTACTATAGTAAAATTAATTTTAAATTTATTTTTTATCCAATAAAATCTATAAAAAAATACTGACTTTAAAAATAATTATTTCTTTTCATTCTAAAAAATAAAATAACAAAGAGTAAAAACCTTGCATGGAACTGAAGAAAAATAATATTTAAAAGTAAAACTATGTTAAAATTATTAAAATTAAAAATTAATTTATACAATACAATAAATAAAAATTGTTGTTATATTGCTAAGCAATATAATAACAATTTTTATTTATTGTATAAATAACAACATAACATTATTTATTGTTATTTATTTGCATAACATATATTTAAATATATTTATTATATAAATAACAATATAACAACAATTTATTATTATATAGAATACCTTTTTTGAAAAGTAAATTTGCTTCATTTAACCTTTCTGATAATAAATCTGATTTGCTGTGTGTTATTTCTTCTCTCTGTCCTATATAAATTAAAATTGTAACATTATTAAAACAGATTAAACATCTTAATTTAAACTTTATCATCAATTGAAAAAAGCATATTCCAGTATTTCTGACATAGGACCTTAAAAATTAATCATATGTAAATACTAATATATAATTTAAATCTCAAAAACTGCAACTGAAATCTACAAATTAATAATACTCTGCTTTACTGGAATACTTATGTCTAAATATATAATACTCTAGCACAGTGGTTCTCAACCTTTCTGAGACCTCATAACACAATTCATATACATTTCATTAAATGGAGTATCTGCATATCTGCATCAGTATATACAAAAATCCATAAGCAATTCCATGTCTTTGCTGTATTGAATAAAATAGTAAACGTGGAATTGTTTACAAATAAAGAAATATGTTGTAATACATTGGAATAAATTTGCAATAAAAACTTTAAAATTTTTTTACTCGTGAAACATGGGTTGAGAACCATTGTTCTACTATGTAAAATTTATACTCTCTCTAGTTTGTTATTATATCATCATCAGAGAACTAATCTCTGATGATATAGTAGATACTGAATATTCTAAATTAATAATAATAATTTAGTTTGATCTATATGGTTACAAAAAGCAATGAACATAGATACAAAATTGAGAAAAACCAGGGGTAAGAACATTTCTTTATATGTATAATAACAATGTGGCTGTTATTATACACATAAAGAAATAAACTATAGGATGAAAAGTTTTACCATATATGTTTATTAGTATTTGAGTTTAAATGTAAAAACATAATACTTTATTATTTGGAATAGATGCATAGTATCTAATTATTAATTACATTTTGAAAAAGCCTATCTCATTCATTGGCAGTTTATCGCTTTATTTTTTTAAGCGTACAGTACATGCACTGGACATTCTAACATCATATCCTTGGCTCAATTTAAGCTCTGAACGAGACAGTTGGGACCTTATCAGAGCTATAGAGCATACTCACAGGAGCAAAAAAAGTCAAAAGAACCATACTCCACAAGCGACCCTTTGCAAGTTACAGCCCCCAAAATCAGGTCGTACAAGATCACAAGTCACATCTCGCCACTAAAATTATCGCATTTAACTATGTAGCCCATGTGACTATGCCAGCTTCGAGTAACCCACTCAACCGTTAATGGAATACTTTGATGTTATATAGTTTTAGGGGAGGTGAAGGCTCACCCCTGCTCAGGCACCAAGGTGCTCGCTATCGCTTGCACCAAAGCACACGACTACATGGTCAAGGCAAGCAATCGCAAGCTTTGACGACGTGTGGCACGAAGAATAGTCAGTATACCGATACATGTTAAAAACTGAGCTTTGTAGGCGAATATTTGGCGAAAGGTCGCATGTACCGGTTCCTTTGACTTTTTGCTCGTATAGGGGATCTACAATTCTCGGGAGGTGCGAAACCCCTCATTCAGTGCTTGGATCTTACCCCAATTATTAAAAACATGTATTTTTATGTTACGAACGTAAATTACATTACCCTGCTCTTTGTGAATATTATATAAAGCTTACGTTTAGTATCGTTGATCATTTCTCTGTATTTATGTCTTATACTTCGACGCTCTCTCTCATCATCTGTCCAATTTTCTTCTTCGCAGTCGCTGTCATTATCTCTTTTACTTCGATTCATCTTAATTGATATTTACGATTCACACGCGACTACAAATTAGATTGATGCACAATTATCCACACCAGAGTCCGCGCACAAATTTTAACTTTGACGCCCTCTTTGATACAAACTTCAAACTATCAAAAAAATTTATAATATTTAAGTCAAATCGAAACTTTAATTTTTCTTATTTATCTTTAATTTAAATACTGTATATAAATATATTTATATTTAAATATAAAATATTAAATATTTAAAATAAGTACTGTATTTTAATATTATAGATTATACGTGATTGGTCAGCTTAATTATTATTATAATTTTTTTTTTTGGATTTTCGGATTGTGGGCATTATTTTGTCACGATCAGAGACGACAGATATACTAATTAGAAATGGGGGATCCAGTTCCGCTGCTGAAACTGGAACTGTTGGAACTGATCCGAGTGCTGAACGGTTTCATCGAAACCGTTAAGCTAGACGGTTTCATGGAATCATTAGAGAGGTTGTTTTTATCGCGAAAACGTGTACGTCGGACGTTCAGCGCCGCCTTCCTGTAAGCCTAGAAGTTTGAAATGGCGTTTGATACGTCGAGCGTGATTCCACTAACGTTCCAAACGCCATTTTCAAACTTCTAGGCTTACAGGAAAGCGGCGCTGAACGTCCGACGTACACGTTTTCGCGATGAAAACGTCGGCTTCAACCTCGCTATTGTCAGTGACCCCAACCTTCGCCTATGGTCACCGTTCAGAATCATACCTCCAGCGCTCCCCTGCTGCCTTGATTCTTGTTTCGACCTAAACTACTCACTTCTTACTCTATGTTAACTCCGATACGAGAGAGAGAGAGAGAGAGAGAGCATACTGATTTCTCAGCTATGTTCTAGCGCAGTGATTCTCAACCTTTTTTCGTCACGGTACACTTTTAATAATTTAAAAATTTGGCGGCACACGCGATTACTTCGGTAAGTACTGCGGGACAACCGGTGACATCATAACAGTGATTTTTAAACGCGATTGGTTATTTAGGTAACATTTTCTATACGCCTTTGTAACTACCGGCAGTTACCAGTAACACCGGTTACAATTTCCAAACGCGCCCTAGAGGAAGGTAGAACCAATTGAACTACTTGTCTGACGTCACTTATGTATGGGATTCGCAGTGGCGGCACACTTCAAAAATCTTGCGACACAGTGGTTGAGAATCACTGTTCTAGAGTTAATGTATCAGGTTGCCTGCTAATGGCTAGCTCTCGAGTCGCTTTATCCATTTGCCTCTTCAAGGATTTTTGTAATTTTTTTCTACGAGGAAAGTAACAATAATATGCCGAATTAGTGTGATATTTTTTACATCACTTCCGTACCAGTTAGATAAGTGGAAACGTATAATTTCTCGAAAAGATTTACAACTTAGAAGAAATTGCAAATACTGTATGTAACTTGCATTTTGATTAGATTTCTGTGCATATAATTAAAAGAGTTGAAATTCCCCGTGGAAAATGGCAACATAAGGTTCTTATTTTTCCAATTGCCAGTTATATTTGTCAATTAAGTTCCAGAACATTTAAAACTGAAGAATACTATCTTATCAACTATTTTTTTTTCCAACTCTTTCCGCCCCGAGGATCTCTTTCAGCAGCCCATTATGACTTCGGCCAGGTCCACAATGAGGCGGCCGGATAGTGAGGGACGGGGTCCGACATATCCAAACGGACCACTCCCCTAAAAATTCCTGGGAATTTTTCGATCCGNATTAAGAGAAATATGTTTATTAAAACAATCAATAATTAACAATTGCAATAAAAAATATTGCATATTAACATTAATTTTTTCTTCACTGCTAAATACCATTAAATGAAAACATTTTCTTTTTGGCAAAATATTGTCATCTAAACTTTTCTGTTGACCTTAATCTGAAGTATCAGCATCTTGCTTTTTCACTATTTTTTTCATAAAATGTGATATTTTCATTTGCTTGCATTTGCCTAAGAAATCTTTAAAAATTTAATCTTTTTATGAAGCAACTTTTAATTTAATTTGTAAAAAACAAAACACAGTGACAGTCTTTTGGGTTCATTTAGAGCCCTATCACCAACAACAGTAACACCTGATTTACAGGCAAGCTAGAAGAATAAGTAGCTAGGACAAGGAAGAATACAATTGTACAATCAGTTCTCATTAAAGAAAACTAGGTAAAAGGCATGAAACACCATCGAAAATTTCAATATTCTAAAATCCATGGGCAAATATGATACAACATGCATGCTTGCTTGAATAAAAAATATAAAATGACAGTGTTTTCATTTAAAAATTGTAATGTTTTGTATGGGGATGTCTCCAATTCTCAAACTATATTAGAGCAAAACCAAGTTGAATGAAGGATACCTGTACATCAATTAATTATTTACATGTGCAACATTTCTTTTTAATAATTTCAGTAGTAGTGACTGAAATGAGATGAACTGAAATGAATGACTTGGAATGTGTTGTTGGTAAATTTGTTTATACACTAAATTATTAATACCTTTTTAAGCATAGAAAGTTTTTCTTTAGTTATACTCCACAGATTTTTAATTTAAATTATTAAATCAATAAAAACAAAAGAACTATTAAATGAAATATTCAAATTGTCAATCTACATAAAATCATCCTGATACTGATCCTGATCAAACAATTTTCATCTACAGAGACAACCTTTTTATGGAGGCTATGCCTTTGCAATAATGAAATTTGAAATAAACTATTTGCTTTTTACCAATGGCAATGTCACCAAAAGAAGTTTTAACCAAATAGCATTATTGCAGAGACTATAAAAAGATTCTCTCTGTAGATGAAGATTGTTTGTTGTTGGTAATTGTAAAGGCAGATATCCAAAGGCATTTTATATATTCTGTATTTTTGTATTTTATTAAAAATTTACATATTGTCAGTCAATTTGAAATTGAAATGAATATTTGTGGTTAATTAGGTCTTTTTTAACCAACTTACTTTTAATTATTTTAGTTTATATGATACAAAACTAGAATCAAAACAAATGTAAAATTTACAGAAAATATATTGTAACAAATAATGCTTTCTTTGAATAAATATAGATACAGCTACTGAATGTCTGAAAAGTTACTGTGCAGTCAGAAGTTTGTAATGACAGTAAAGTTATATGCACGGTATTGCACATAATACAGTAAAACCCTGCTTAACACTGATTCAATATAACGCGGTCTGCTCAAAGCCTAAAACAAGCTCAAAATTTACGCTGATTTAAATTATCGCAGCATTTCATTGATTCGTATATAATACAATTATTTGTGAACACAAACCAATCAGCAAAAGATGTCAAAAAGGTGTACTTTCTTTAAATCTATGTTTGTTTGGTGCAATTTTGGTAAAAGTATAACATCATGGATGCCATAGGAAATATCGACTTCACTTGGCAAGAATTAACTGATAAATGCATGAACAAAGTGTGGAAGAAGTTATGGCTGAAGGTATCCAAGCATTCTCAATGAGAAGAGCCTATCGCTGTATTGTTAGGTTAATCAAACTCAACCTAAATCAATATAGCAGGACTAGGAGATATAGACAAGAAGGCTATTGAGGAGTTACAGCAGGTTTCTGGTGAGAGCCTTACCAACGATGACATTCAAGAACTGGCAGAACATGGAATTCATGTGAAACTGGAAAATAGAGATTCTGAAAATGAAGAACCCAAAAAATTTCTCTAAAGATTTCCTTACTAAAAGTTTGCTAAGATAACCAAAAGCGTTGATCAAATTGTAGCGAATGATCCAGTTTTTGAAAGGAGTGAAAAAGCAAAATGAGGCGTTTTGGATGCAATCTGCTACCGACATTTGCTTAAGGAAAGAAAAAAGCAATAAATGAAACTTCACAACTTTATTGCAAAAGAATAAGAATTTCAGAAAAGTCAGGACCTTCGTCACAAAAAATGAAGTTTATATTTCTGTGTGCATATGTTTATGTGTTATTTAACATATATTATTATACAAATTAATATAAAAATAACTTAAAATTAAAGTAAAATTTGTTTATTTTTGGTTGCATGTTCCCCTAGCCCTATTTACTCTATGTTAAAATGACCTCATTTAATGCTGTTTTCCTTAGTGCTTTGTTGTCTAGGAACACATCCCCCATGTTCAGTGGGGTCTTACAGGTACCTGTAAGACCCTGCTTAAGTTGTAAGTTGTCAATTTGATATCAGACTAGTTCACCACATGGTGTTACAAACAACTTATAGGTTTTGTATATAATACTGTACATATAGCATTAATGTAAAAATTTCTCACTGCACTGCAACTTTTTTGACACCCTCTATAAAATTTGTTAAGTGCTTTGAAGCTTACTGATCATCTTGAATCAAATTCAAGCAATAAGCTCAAAAACACTTATCAACCTATCTTTATATTTACTCCAAAAAACCATTATATGTTGCTTTATTCTAATTTAATTTGAAGATGGAATACAATATACATACATACATACATATAGATTTGAAAAAATTTAATTACATGTAATGAAAAGATGGTGATTTATTTATGAGTGGATGAAATTGTTTTCCAAATTCAATCCAATGTTCAGGTAATAAGGGACAAGGTTGTTCACTTCCTCCTCCTTCATCAGTATCTATTCTATTTGGCCTTAAATAAGATATCTGAAATGATGATAAACACTTTTGCAAAATGTTTTGATAAAGTTGTCTAATGATATTACTAAGCATACTATATTAGAATCTTACTAATTTTTCTGCAAATTCTAAAGGCTGGAATGTTAAAAAGTCTGTATGAAGGGCTTGAGCTTGTTGTTTTCCAGCAGCAGCACAAAGGTATATTAAACGTGAATCCATTGCTGCTTCTCTTGTCTTCTTTACTATAGTAAAATTAATTTTAAATTTATTTTTTATCCAATAAAATCTATAAAAAAATACTGACTTTAAAAATAATTATTTCTTTTCATTCTAAAAAATAAAATAACAAAGAGTAAAAACCTTNAAAAAAAAAAAAAAAAAAAAAAAAAAAAAAAAAAAAAAAAAAAAAAAAAAAAAAAAAAAAAAAAAAAAAAAAAAAAAAAAAAAAAAAAAAAAAAAAAAAAAAAAAAAAAAAAAAAAAAAAAAAAAAAAAAAAAAAAAAAAAAAAAAAAAAAAAAAAAAAAAAAAAAAAAAAAAAAAAAAAAAAAAAAAAAAAAAAAAAAAAAAAAAAAAAAAAAAAAAAAAAAAAAAAAAAAAAAAAAAAAAAAAAAAAAAAAAAAAAAAAAAAAAAAAAAAAAAAAAAAAAAAAAAAAAAAAAAAAAAAAAAAAAAAAAAAAAAAAAAAAAAAAAAAAAAAAAAAAAAAAAAAAAAAAAAAAAAAAAAAAAAAAAAAAAAAAAAAAAAAAAAAAAAAAAAAAAAAAAAAAAAAAAAAAAAAAAAAAAAAAAAAAAAAAAAAAAAAAAAAAAAAAAAAAAAAAAAAAAAAAAAAAAAAAAAAAAAAAAAAAAAAAAAAAAAAAAAAAAAAAAAAAAAAAAAAAAAAAAAAAAAAAAAAAAAAAAAAAAAAAAAAAAAAAAAAAAAAAAAAAAAAAAAAAAAAAAAAAAAAAAAAAAAAAAAAAAAAAAAAAAAAAAAAAAAAAAAAAAAAAAAAAAAAAAAAAAAAAAAAAAAAAAAAAAAAAAAAAAAAAAAAAAAAAAAAAAAAAAAAAAAAAAAAAAAAAAAAAAAAAAAAAAAAAAAAAAAAAAAAAAAAAAAAAAAAAAAAAAAAAAAAAAAAAAAAAAAAAAAAAAAAAAAAAAAAAAAAAAAAAAAAAAAAAAAAAAAAAAAAAAAAAAAAAAAAAAAAAAAAAAAAAAAAAAAAAAAAAAAAAAAAAAAAAAAAAAAAAAAAAAAAAAAAAAAAAAAAAAAAAAAAAAAAAAAAAAAAAAAAAAAAAAAAAAAAAAAAAAAAAAAAAAAAAAAAAAAAAAAAAAAAAAAAAAAAAAAAAAAAAAAAAAAAAAAAAAAAAAAAAAAAAAAAAAAAAAAAAAAAAAAAAAAAAAAAAAAAAAAAAAAAAAAAAAAAAAAAAAAAAAAAAAAAAAAAAAAAAAAAAAAAAAAAAAAAAAAAAAAAAAAAAAAAAAAAAAAAAAAAAAAAAAAAAAAAAAAAAAAAAAAAAAAAAAAAAAAAAAAAAAAAAAAAAAAAAAAAAAAAAAAAAAAAAAAAAAAAAAAAAAAAAAAAAAAAAAAAAAAAAAAAAAAAAAAAAAAAAAAAAAAAAAAAAAAAAAAAAAAAAAAAAAAAAAAAAAAAAAAAAAAAAAAAAAAAAAAAAAAAAAAAAAAAAAAAAAAAAAAAAAAAAAAAAAAAAAAAAAAAAAAAAAAAAAAAAAAAAAAAAAAAAAAAAAAAAAAAAAAAAAAAAAAAAAAAAAAAAAAAAAAAAAAAAAAAAAAAAAAAAAAAAAAAAAAAAAAAAAAAAAAAAAAAAAAAAAAAAAAAAAAAAAAAAAAAAAAAAAAAAAAAAAAAAAAAAAAAAAAAAAAAAAAAAAAAAAAAAAAAAAAAAAAAAAAAAAAAAAAAAAAAAAAAAAAAAAAAAAAAAAAAAAAAAAAAAAAAAAAAAAAAAAAAAAAAAAAAAAAAAAAAAAAAAAAAAAAAAAAAAAAAAAAAAAAAAAAAAAAAAAAAAAAAAAAAAAAAAAAAAAAAAAAAAAAAAAAAAAAAAAAAAAAAAAAAAAAAAAAAAAAAAAAAAAAAAAAAAAAAAAAAAAAAAAAAAAAAAAAAAAAAAAAAAAAAAAAAAAAAAAAAAAAAAAAAAAAAAAAAAAAAAAAAAAAAAAAAAAAAAAAAAAAAAAAAAAAAAAAAAAAAAAAAAAAAAAAAAAAAAAAAAAAAAAAAAAAAAAAAAAAAAAAAAAAAAAAAAAAAAAAAAAAAAAAAAAAAAAAAAAAAAAAAAAAAAAAAAAAAAAAAAAAAAAAAAAAAAAAAAAAAAAAAAAAAAAAAAAAAAAAAAAAAAAAAAAAAAAAAAAAAAAAAAAAAAAAAAAAAAAAAAAAAAAAAAAAAAAAAAAAAAAAAAAAAAAAAAAAAAAAAAAAAAAAAAAAAAAAAAAAAAAAAAAAAAAAAAAAAAAAAAAAAAAAAAAAAAAAAAAAAAAAAAAAAAAAAAAAAAAAAAAAAAAAAAAAAAAAAAAAAAAAAAAAAAAAAAAAAAAAAAAAAAAAAAAAAAAAAAAAAAAAAAAAAAAAAAAAAAAAAAAAAAAAAAAAAAAAAAAAAAAAAAAAAAAAAAAAAAAAAAAAAAAAAAAAAAAAAAAAAAAAAAAAAAAAAAAAAAAAAAAAAAAAAAAAAAAAAAAAAAAAAAAAAAAAAAAAAAAAAAAAAAAAAAAAAAAAAAAAAAAAAAAAAAAAAAAAAAAAAAAAAAAAAAAAAAAAAAAAAAAAAAAAAAAAAAAAAAAAAAAAAAAAAAAAAAAAAAAAAAAAAAAAAAAAAAAAAAAAAAAAAAAAAAAAAAAAAAAAAAAAAAAAAAAAAAAAAAAAAAAAAAAAAAAAAAAAAAAAAAAAAAAAAAAAAAAAAAAAAAAAAAAAAAAAAAAAAAAAAAATACTTACAACAAATTTATCATATAATTGGTAAGTTAAAAGAGGATTTGGTAATTCACGAAAATACATTTTTAACAAAGAAGCCATGCAATGAATATCTTGTAAAATTGCTTCATCTGTTAGATCAGGTATTTTGTCCTCGTCGAATGCCAATCTAAAATTTTAACAATTAAACAATAATTATTTTAAAAATTAAGTTAAATGTCAGTATTTATTATTATAGTAAAATTACTGAAAGCTTTTTTTTACTAATTGTTAAAATAATCATCAATCGTCTCAACTTTTTGATTTATTTTAATAAACTTTTCAGCTTGAAAACATTTTTAATGACAGTAAAGATACAATAAATAAAATTATACTTTTTTGTTTCATCAATATTTTTTAGATAATTTTTCTGATGTATTTATAAACAAATCTTCACAATCTCTTGATCAAAGAGCATGCTATGACTTTTTTTTAAAAATAATTTTAATGATTTTAAAATGTCCTGTTTGATCTTATTATGAAAAGTATTAATCTTTTAATCTTTTTTAAAAATTATTAGAAAAATAATAATTATTTCTGTAATCTTATAAAAAAATAATAATTATTTTTATAATAAGATTATAAAAATTAAGCCAAAATGAATACTTAAAAAAATCATAATATTACATAATCATTAAGAATATCAATTTTTAGTATATTTTCAAAATACAGTAATAATTACAGCAAATAAAAAGTTAAATTATTTATAAATGTAAAGTATTATGATTAGAGTAAATAAGTGCAGTTTAATAATAAACTATGTCAATTGTTAGAATTTTTGTAACAAAATTATTTAAGTATTCATTTCAAAAAAATTTTATGTTTAGATTAAATTAATCTTCTTATAAAAATTTATAATGTATCAAATACATTTTACATTAAAATTAAATAAAATAAACTGAAAATTATACAATTAAAACCTTTAACAATTAATCTTCCATCTCTAATTTTTAAGAAATCATAATTAGTAACATTAATTTTTGACTATTTAATTATTTTCATATTTAAAAATAACAATTTACTTTAATATTTAATTATTCAAATAAATTTTGTCTTTCTTGATCTTATTAAAATTAATTCAAAATTAAAATTATTAATCTACTTAAAAAGTATATTAACAATTTTACTTTTGAAATGACTTTTAATATGACAAAAATAATCTCCATCTCTCAATAATATACATATTTTGTATACAGAATTTTCAAAAAAATTATGTAACATGTTTTTTTCAAATTATAGAAATGTGAAATGACCCCAAAAATAGAAATAAGAGTTTAAAATTTTGTTTAGATTTTTAATAATTGCATTTATATTTTTAATTTATATATATTTTGTAATACTTTCATAAAACTATTTTCATACTAATTATTTTTAAATTGAAAAATAATTACTGTTTTAATCTTTAGTGTACAGTATCTATTTTCATTTGTACTTGAAGACATTTTTGTAATAATAAGAGTAAAAATAAAAGTAATTCCACAGTTTTACTCTAACAAATTCATTAAGTGTTGCATTCTTCTGTGAAATGAATTTTTAGAAAGTTTATCCTAGTGTTTATTTTGCAACAACCATTTGAATGTAATATTATATTATTATTATTATAGGTGAAATTAAATAAAATAAACACTTGTTTTAATTTACTAAGAATTGACACACAGTATGATCTTATTATACACAGGAGTTGCATGACAATGGGTATTGCATAAAATAAATTTTCAGTGTTTTATTCCAAGTAGTATCTCAGATGATTGCCTAGACACTTGTGCAACCTTTTGCAATTAACAAAAAACAATTTAAAACATTTTATTTATGTTATTATAATAATGAATACCATTTTGATTCAATATTTCTGAGTCTATAGAGCAAAATTTTATTACATTGTATCAAATGCATTACTTTAGAAAAATACATGCACAGAACTACTAAATATCAAAGTGAATAGCATTTAGTAGTTCACTGTGCTTGGAACTGAAAAAACATGTTTAGCTGACTAAAGTCAGATTAAGAGGCACTAAGAGTATTACATGTCAATGTGACTGTCTTTTGGAAGAACAGTGGTAGAACAATGCTGCTTCTTGTTTTAATTCTCTAAATATAGTTGTGTATGGTATTAAAATATCCAAACTAAAGGAATATAACCCTTTCAAGTTTTTTTCCTAACATTTAAACCCATGGAATTGTCTCTTCCAGTTTTGAATTACAGTTTTCTTTTAAAATTAGGTGGAATAACTGATGGTTACACCAATTCAAGTGAACAATGAATCAAATCAATGTGTTTCAGAAGGCAACATTATGTGAGCAAAGTTTTTTTTTATCTGTAATCATCACTGGCAAAAGACATTCATCATGCATTCAGTATATTAGAAATAGACACTACAGTATATAGATAAATACTTCATGCATTATTCAAAATATTGTATACATAATCAAATATCATATAACAGAAAGAATGATGACTAAAAGATACTGAGCACAATAATCAATCACACATGATCTAATCTCTTTCCGTCCATCTTAGAATAAGTGAGACAAAACCTAGAAGATTAGCTTTAAGAAACAAATAATAAACAAATGGTAATGTTTTAAAAAGAATCCAATACTTCAAAATGATCTTTTATCACATCAGTTTTCAGAACAAAGATGTTCAAATTTTAAAAATATAATATGCAGAATTCTTAAAAATAAATGCTTTAAAAACTTGATGAAAAACATTAGGAATTGATAAAATTCACAGTCATTAATACAAAAGATTTAAAGCATTAATAAATATTTTTCTGAACATTTTGCTACTTACATTGCCATATAATCTATTAACAATATAGCCTGTATAAAACCCAAAACTATATATATAAGCAAATGTTCAATAAAGTGATTTTATCATCTATTTAAACAAACTCTTTAAATGTAGCTAGAGATATCTACATAAACTAATCATAAAAATAACATTCTAAATGCAAAGTTTGTTGAAAATATCTACAGAAATATTAAATAACAGTACCGTTAATTTTGAGCTGTTTATTAGAAGTTTGTAAAAGGCATAATTATTTGTAATATATATACAGAATATAAAAAAGCATTTTATAATATATGCATATGATTTGTATATAGTTTAAAGTTTGTAATCATCAGTAGTCTCTTACATCATATCAGGACTGTACAGAAGCTAATTATTATTAATATAAATATATCCACAAAACTAAATATGACAATGATATATATTTCAGAAGAGTCATTGATATTTTATATTTTACCTTATCTTAAGTAAATAAATATTGGTCACAATGCCAACAACTAATTGTTTACATGGATAATATTAATTGCATGCACACACAAAAATCTGTTTTTGAATGTTAAAGATATAAATAATTCAACAAAGTAAGTAAAATGCAAGTACTTTTATTGATTTTAATTTCATCTTCATAAATATAATCATTAATGAACAACTTGTAAAATCAAAACCATTCACACTTTAGCAGTAAATTGGTTTAATGAACAAATATTTTCTGTTTATTTTATAAATGTGCCTCAGGTTCAAACTACTAAATTCCTAAATTCCAAATTGGAATGTTTCAAACATTCAATGACATTTTTAAAACATCGTAATTTTGTATACAGAAAGATTTGAAAAAGTATTTTATATATTAATTACTAAGACTGTCGCGTTTCGGGATTGAGATTAGGAATTTCTGAAATCGAGATTATCTGTCAACGGACGAAATTTTGGTAAAGGTGTTCGAATAACGGCTTGTACTTTGTTTTAAAAAAAATGTATAAAAATTCATCATTCTGAGTTAATTGCTTAAAGAATGAAATATAAATTTAGAGTCATGTAGATCACAACATTTTCTGCAGTATGAAAAGACAACAAAGTATCTAGGTCGAAAGGTTTTAAGTTAGTCAACTGTCAGTGTTTTAAGAAAATGAATTTACTTCAACAGTAAGTTATTTTTAAAATGGAATCAGTTTCTAAAGTAAAATAGATTAATAAAAATTCTAAAATATATACGGTCATTGGAAAATTGTAACAGCCAATATGAATGAAACAAGTGTATGATATTTGCAATGTCACGTGACCACAATTATTAATCCATTACAAAGATTTTTACATTTGATTTTAAAATATATAAATTTCCCGAAAAACACTATTAAACGCTCCAATAAATTCTAAGAAATATTTTCTTTTATCTCCAACTTTATTTGTTGTATTTAGATCGTAATCATCTCCATTCACTATTTTCTGTATTGTACTATATATGCAAAAAATTTTGAATACATATCATTATAAAATCAAATTGATTTTTATAATATTTAATGTTTAAGTAGGTCAGAAAATAAAGACTGTGAAATATAAAAATATGATTTTAGGAATATTGTATCAATAGTAGCTAAAGCATGCCACTGATAAATGTTTGAATTATGCGACATATAAAATATCCGATTATTGAAAGATTTTAAACTACTGTTACAGAATTGATAAAAATATTTTGTTAGAATGGTTAGAATCAATTCCTTTACAGCTTAATTTTCATATCCATAAAATAAACAAACTTAAATTGATTGACAATACTCAAGTGTATTACTATGTCATTAGCATTATAATGCTATATCATGTTGCCATATTATCATTTACATTTTTTTGTTTCCTTCCATTTACATTTAATAAAGTGTATAGATGATATACTTCTCAACTGTCTGCCATTTCATCCTGTACCTGCCTTAGTAGTCATCTGGATGAAATGCCTACCATTCTAATATAACCATCAAGATGATGGCACTAATTTAGCCAATTATATCATATGAGGCATGTTCGAAAAGTAAAGATATAAGGTGAGTAGAAATCCAAGGAAAATTATTTTTTTACAGTTTTCTGCAGTGTTGCATCTGTTAGGGTCTGAGTCACATGATAGAAGTCACTTGAGTTTAATTGCATCATTGTTATGCTTGTAGTGTGTGTTTAAAATGGTTGTGACAATTTTTCATCAATTGCAACAAGTGCTATGTTTATTCAGTGATTCAGTTCCTTTGTGCAAAAGGAGAAACTGCCACTGAGATTCATTGGTAACTTGTTTCTGTTTATGGAAAAGACATTATGAACATTCAAAACTTGACAAAATATAACAACATGCTGTTGAATATATTATATAAAACTTTCATTATATCAGAAATATAACAATATACATTGAAACCTCTGTTAACGGACACTCCTGAATGCAGTGGCAAAGCAAACATAACTGACACACGGGGCACAACACTTTATTGGGGCCCTCCCCCTCCAGAAACAAATCTTGTTTGACTTGGAGACCATTTGGCGCTCCTCTGTGAGTGATGCCCAGGGCATGATAGACCCCCCCCTTGCTACGCTAGTGCCTGAATGGCAGACACCTCTACTTAACGGACATTTTTACAATTCCCAGACCTGTACATAATAGGACATCTATAATATTTACCTTTAAATAGTGGCGACACTAAATAATGGATGCTGTCGTCCGTAACCTACCTTACAAAAACACAACATCCTGCCTTAAACATTTTAAAAGAATTAATTACGTAAAAAATATTTTAAAACTAAACAAAGAATCAGTTCAAATACTATTTCAGAGGATGAATTTGACCATAGGAGTTGAATAAAGACTGGCTTAAAATAGGAATAAGGGAGAAGAGCAAGTTGTAAATAGCTGAACAATATTCTTTATCTGTTAGAGAAAACTAATTCGATTAAGTTGTCAATCACAATTTATCATTGTATTGTACTGTACATATTAATGTTGTTAAACTTTTGTCTTATTGTTGGAATTAAGCTTAGGTACCAAGAAACCATAAACTTTTCTGAAGTTTATTTGAAATCATTTGAAGAAATTCATTTGACAAGAACTGTAGTATAGTAGTAATGGAAAAGAAACAGTTTAAGGTTAAGACAACAGGCATTTATTTGGAGAAAGTTCAAAGACTGTGTTACAAAGGTGATTTGCTGACCATTTTAAAGTGTAGGAACATATTTGGTTTTCTCACATTTATGACATCATTTATGATCTTGATAACTTTGTGGAGGCTAAAGTAATTTTTAATAAATCGTTTATTGAAAAAAGCAAAAAATGTTCAAAAATTATACCTCAATAACTATAAAACAGACAAATCACTATATTGATTTTAATTAGTCGCTTCAAACATAAATGATGTTATAAATGCAAGGATACTTGAATATATTTCTTACCCCTTGAAGTGGCTTCCAAATTGCCTTTGTAACTGGACATTTGAACTTTCACCACATAAACAGATTTTCATTCACTATTCTGTTTGTAATAACAGTTTCATTTTTCTTTATCATTACTTTTTCTCAGGTTGTTTTTGATGAATTAATAATTAATCAATGTTTATTTTGTCATAAATTTTATATTCCATTTAATTAAAGTATGCTATACAATTTATTTGCTATTTAAAATTCAATTAAAATTTTATCTAATTGGATTGAGGTTGAAACAAAATTTTATATTTTTTATTTCATGTACTGTACATACTAAATGTATTCATTATAACACGAGATGGTATGGAAAGGTTACATCTTGGTGATACTGTATTTTAGCAGTAACAGAATTGCAGTAACAGAAAAGCAGCAATTGAAGTAAAATTTGAAAGCCATATCTCACATTAGCATAGAATTCACCTCAAGCTGAACTGTTAGCCAATCTGCGATTCTGGACTTAATCTAATTTGACCATTAAAATTCTGAACTGCAGCTTAGACAAAGCTTATGAATGAGATTGGCTGACAAAGAGCCTAGCTTTTCCAGAGTACATAGTATACAATTCAAATTTTCAATTCAGCACACTGAAGTTTATTACAAAATTTAATGTGTAATTTGTATATATATTTATGGTAATAAATAAACTAGATGAATAATACATATATTTTATACATTTATGACTTATTAAATTTTTAGTTTTCTTTACATTTTAAGTTGTGATTTTCTACAGTAGGTCATAAACTCAAAAAAAAAAAAAAAATTCCATTTAATTATTGATGGTGAATTTGCAAGTAATCAAATATGCAAAAGTTAACCTGTGAAAGTTGACATTTGATTGTAGAAAGTCTTTCTAAATAAATTAAATATTTTTTAAAGTAATAAAACATTCAATAATGTTGGCAAAAATTATTTTTTACATATTCATCATGACATTATGATCTGATTACCTTAAATACCATTTATTTGAATACATCTGGATATATTTCTTTGTTATTCATGAGATGCTCAACATTCAGGTCAAATTTGTTTTCTTTTTTTCTTAGTTGTGTTATGCTCTGTTAAATTTCATATATTTTTGTGAAATGTCTATGCTACTTATTAGAGAAAGCAGCATAGACATTTCACAAAAGGAAAATACATNAACAACAATTTATTATTATATAGAATACCTTTTTTGAAAAGTAAATTTGCTTCATTTAACCTTTCTGATAATAAATCTGATTTGCTGTGTGTTATTTCTTCTCTCTGTCCTATATAAATTAAAATTGTAACATTATTAAAACAGATTAAACATCTTAATTTAAACTTTATCATCAATTGAAAAAAGCATATTCCAGTATTTCTGACATAGGACCTTAAAAATTAATCATATGTAAATACTAATATATAATTTAAATCTCAAAAACTGCAACTGAAATCTACAAATTAATAATACTCTGCTTTACTGGAATACTTATGTCTAAATATATAATACTCTAGCACAGTGGTTCTCAACCTTTCTGAGACCTCATAACACAATTCATATACATTTCATTAAATGGAGTATCTGCATATCTGCATCAGTATATACAAAAATCCATAAGCAATTCCATGTCTTTGCTGTATTGAATAAAATAGTAAACGTGGAATTGTTTACAAATAAAGAAATATGTTGTAATACATTAGAATAAATTTGCAATAAAAACTTTAAAATTTTTTTACTCGTGAAACATGGGTTGAGAACCATTGTTCTACTATGTAAAATTTATACTCTCTCTAGTTTGTTATTATATCATCATCAGAGAACTAATCTCTGATGATATAGTAGATACTGAATATTCTAAATTAATAATAATAATTTAGTTTGATCTATATGGTTACAAAAAGCAATGAACATAGATACAAAATTGAGAAAAACCAGGGGTAAGAACATTTCTTTATATGTATAATAACAATGTGGCTGTTATTATACACATAAAGAAATAAACTATAGGATGAAAAGTTTTACCATATATGTTTATTAGTATTTGAGTTTAAATGTAAAAACATAATACTTTATTATTTGGAATAGATGCATAGTATCTAATTATTAATTACATTTTGAAAAAGCCTATCTCATTCATTGGCAGTTTATCGCTTTATTTTTTTAAGCGTACAGTACATGCACTGGACATTCTAACATCATATCCTTGGCTCAATTTAAGCTCTGAACGAGACAGTTGGGACCTTATCAGAGCTATAGAGCATACTCACAGGAGCAAAAAAAGTCAAAAGAACCATACTCCACAAGCGACCCTTTGCAAGTTACAGCCCCCAAAATCAGGTCGTACAAGATCACAAGTCACATCTCGCCACTAAAATTATCGCATTTAACTATGTAGCCCATGTGACTATGCCAGCTTCGAGTAACCCACTCAACCGTTAATGGAATACTTTGATGTTATATAGTTTTAGGGGAGGTGAAGGCTCACCCCTGCTCAGGCACCAAGGTGCTCGCTATCGCTTGCACCAAAGCACACGACTACATGGTCAAGGCAAGCAATCGCAAGCTTTGACGACGTGTGGCACGAAGAATAGTCAGTATACCGATACATGTTAAAAACTGAGCTTTGTAGGCGAATATTTGGCGAAAGGTCGCATGTACCGGTTCCTTTGACTTTTTGCTCGTATAGGGGATCTACAATTCTCGGGAGGTGCGAAACCCCTCATTCAGTGCTTGGATCTTACCCCAATTATTAAAAACATGTATTTTTATGTTACGAACGTAAATTACATTACGCTGCTCTTTGTGAATATTATATAAAGCTTACGTTTAGTATCGTTGATCATTTCTCTGTATTTATGTCTTATACTTCGACGCTCTCTCTCATCATCTGTCCAATTTTCTTCTTCGCAGTCGCTGTCATTATCTCTTTTACTTCGATTCATCTTAATTGATATTTACGATTCACACGCGACTACAAATTAGATTGATGCACAATTATCCACACCAGAGTCCGCGCACAAATTTTAACTTTGACGCCCTCTTTGATACAAACTTCAAACTATCAAAAAAATTTATAATATTTAAGTCAAATCGAAACTTTAATTTTTCTTATTTATCTTTAATTTAAATACTGTATATAAATATATTTATATTTAAATATAAAATATTAAATATTTAAAATAAGTACTGTATTTTAATATTATAGATTATACGTGATTGGTCAGCTTAATTATTATTATAATTTTTTTTTTTGGATTTTCGGATTGTGGGCATTATTTTGTCACGATCAGAGACGACAGATATACTAATTAGAAATGGGGGATCCAGTTCCGCTGCTGAAACTGGAACTGTTGGAACTGATCCGAGTGCTGAACGGTTTCATCGAAACCGTTAAGCTAGACGGTTTCATGGAATCATTAGAGAGGTTGTTTTTATCGCGAAAACGTGTACGTCGGACGTTCAGCGCCGCCTTCCTGTAAGCCTAGAAGTTTGAAATGGCGTTTGATACGTCGAGCGTGATTCCACTAACGTTCCAAACGCCATTTTCAAACTTCTAGGCTTACAGGAAAGCGGCGCTGAACGTCCGACGTACACGTTTTCGCGATGAAAACGTCGGCTTCAACCTCGCTATTGTCAGTGACCCCAACCTTCGCCTATGGTCACCGTTCAGAATCATACCTCCAGCGCTCCCCTGCTGCCTTGATTCTTGTTTCGACCTAAACTACTCACTTCTTACTCTATGTTAACTCCGATACGAGAGAGAGAGAGAGAGAGAGCATACTGATTTCTCAGCTATGTTCTAGCGCAGTGATTCTCAACCTTTTTTCGTCACGGTACACTTTTAATAATTTAAAAATTTGGCGGCACATGCGATTACTTCGGTAAGTACTGCGGGACAACCGGTGACATCATAACAGTGATTTTTAAACGCGATTGGTTATTTAGGTAACATTTTCTATACGCCTTTGTAACTACCGGCAGTTACCAGTAACACCGGTTACAATTTCCAAACGCGCCCTAGAGGAAGGTAGAACCAATTGAACTACTTGTCTGACGTCACTTATGTATGGGATTCGCAGTGGCGGCACACTTCAAAAATCTTGCGACACAGTGGTTGAGAATCACTGTTCTAGAGTTAATGTATCAGGTTGCCTGCTAATGGCTAGCTCTCGAGTCGCTTTATCCATTTGCCTCTTCAAGGATTTTTGTAATTTTTTTCTACGAGGAAAGTAACAATAATATGCCGAATTAGTGTGATATTTTTTACATCACTTCCGTACCAGTTAGATAAGTGGAAACGTATAATTTCTCGAAAAGATTTACAACTTAGAAGAAATTGCAAATACTGTATGTAACTTGCATTTTGATTAGATTTCTGTGCATATAATTAAAAGAGTTGAAATTCCCCGTGGAAAATGGCAACATAAGGTTCTTATTTTTCCAATTGCCAGTTATATTTGTCAATTAAGTTCCAGAACATTTAAAACTGAAGAATACTATCATATCAACTATTTTTTTTCCAACTCTTTCCACCCCGAGGATCTCTTTCAGCAGCCCATTATGACTTCGGCCAGTATGTATGG